CCCACCCCGGCACCAGTTGCAAACACAGCCTCCCTGACCACTGCCGCCCCATCTCCATAGTCAGGAGCAGATTCTCCCAGGTCCCTTCCAGAAGAATCTTCCCTGGGCACCTGGCTCTGCTTTTCCCCTCCCCCAGCCATTCAACCCTAGCTTGTTAAGCACCTACTGTGTGCAGCAGGGAGAGAAACCCAGGGAGGAGGTGGCACTTGAGGAAGATCACTCAATAATCCGGTGTCACAGGGGCTTCCCACCATCCAGGTTAGGGTGTTAGGGTCTCATGTGCTCTCACAGGGCTCTTCCCCAGAGAACACACACACACTCACGCACCATGGAGAGGGGCTGGTTCATTTCTCCTGCCCGGTGAGCTCTGACCCATGCGCCATCCATCTCCCGAGAACCTCCCATTCCCCCACTCCCTCCCTCCTCAAGCACATCTGTTTCCTGTCAGGCTCCAGCTGTGGCTCCCCCCTGCTGGCCCTGCCCCCCAGGAGAAGAAAACACTGATGGGCTTTGCCTTATAGTTGAGGGGGTGGAGTCGGGAGCCCTGGGGTGATCAATCCCAGCTGCTGAATATTTTCCCTCTACAGAGGGGGAGCTGCTTGACATTTCCCCCCAGCTCCCTTCACCCACCTCTTCCTCCCCCCACCCGCACCCCCAATGTCTGGGCAGGGCTAAGCCAGGACTCATAGAGGGAAGGGGGGCACTGATAAGGTCACAGCCGAGGAGGGGCACAGCACAGATGAGCTGTGTTCAGGGCAGGATGGCAAGAGTGCTGCAGAAGTATTTGCACAGGGACTCAGTTTCCTCACTCCCAGCCTGTTCCCAGTTCTACAAAATAATAACAGTAATAATATAAGGTATTCATATCAGCCAACATTTGGCTTTTGTGTGTGTGCCAGGCACTGTCTAATAAATTTGCATATATTAACTTACCTACTCTTCATGACAACCTTATCAAGTCTGTTCTCTTACTAGTCCCATTTTATAGAAGAGATAGTCAAGGCACAGAGAGGTTAAGTGACTTGCTAAAAGTCACACAGCAGTTAGAAGTCTTACAGAGCACTTACGGTTACAAAGTACTTTATATAGAAAGAGTCATTTCATTTACTTCTCAGCCAATGTAGTTAACCTCCTAGTGGGGTTACAGAAGGGCAAGCTGAGCTTCTCCTAAAGGAGAAAAGTCTTGCCCAACAGCCCTTGCAGATAGTCAAGTTGCCGGCCTCTAGGCAGGACCCTTAATGTCTTGGAGCCTCAGGAAGGTGAAGGTTTAGAGACTAACATACCCTTCACAGGAAGTTAGTGAGGTTGGTGCTATGACTTATGCGGCTGCACGTTACGAAATGTGATCCATGGGGGGACAGGAGTGGGGTTAGGCTGCTCACTCTGGCCACCTGAAGACCAGTTCAGGGAGGGGTCTGGGCCAGCATGAAGAGTAGGAGAAGGAGCTGTGCGTGGTCTGGGGCAGGGGAGGCCTTAGGAGGGTCTCCCTCTGACAGTCTCGTGGAAACTGAGCAGGGAAGAGCAAGTGGCATTTAGACTTGGGGCTCTGGGTGACGGACACCACCCTCCCACCCCACCCCCACACACATGCACACACAGCCCAGGTCCTAGCCAGGCTCTCAACCTGTGCCTTTTGGAACAGGAGCTGCGCGCAGGCCTGCCGAGGAAGGGCCCTGGCACGTGGGCATCCACCAGCCCCTTCCTGGGCCCTCCCATGATCTGATCTTGTTCCTCCTGTCTGTTTTTTCTGCATCTACCTCACTCTGCCTGCTTTGCTGTTTCTGACTTTCTCCCCACCCTCCTGCACCCTGGCCCCGGGCCCTCTTCCTCCTTCCTCTCTGCAGAGACCCCTGGAAAAGCCTGACGGCCTAGACGTGTCCGACCAGAGCAAGGAGCACCCCCAGCACCTCTGCGAGAAGTGCAAAGTCCTGGGCTACTACTGCCGCCGAGTGCAATAACCTGGCTCCGCCCGCCAGAGAAGATGGCATCCCCTCTGTGTGTCCCCGATTGCTGCATGTCCCCGTGTGCGTGGGGCGTCCTCGAGGGCCTGTGGGCTCAGGCAGGGATGTCTTGGGTTCTGGTCTCAAGTGTGTTGACTGTTACTGGTGTAGCTGCCCCACGGAAGGCCAGGTCTCCAGGGCTCTGTGCAGGGGGCCTGAGGGCTGGGTGGAGGGGCCAGGGGCCAGCAGAGGTCAGTGCACAGGACCCCCTGCAGAGCCCTTGGTGTCCCCCAGCCTCTCCTCTCAAGACCTCCTTTGGGGTGAGCAGCCTTGTATTGGCCACAAGTGCACTAAATTTACTGTGAATCCCAAAGCCTGCAGGGGACTTCTCCCCAAGACCAGCCAGGCTACCCTCTCCTACCCAGAACCTTCCAGCCTGCCCTGCGTGCAAAGCCACTCTGGGAAAACCCCATTTTTCTGTCCTGTTTAAGTCAGCAGTTGTGGCAACCTGGTGCCTTTTCTAGCATGGGGGTGGGGGGGAGGATAGCAATTATCTGTGCCCCCTGCCCACTGTGAGCTCCAAACCTGCCACCGCTAATGTCATTGGCATTACACCTGGATACTGCCCCCATAGGCCCAAAGGTCAGGGACAGTGTCCCCAGGTATGACCTGGGACACCTGAGGGACACATCCTCCCACCCACCACACACATTGCCCAGTTGCTTGAGTTTTTTGTCAGCCCCTCACCCCTCCTTCTCTTTCACCTTCCGACCACATTGGGGTCCAGCCCTGAGTGCGGTTGGCGTAAAGGACATGGAGTTGGTGGTCTGGAGGCCTACATTCAAATGCTGACCCTGCCACTAACAACGCTATGCATCCTTAGGGAGGACTGCTCATCTCTGGGCCTCAGTTTCCCCACTACTTAAGTGATAGAGTGACACTAAAGAGCGAAGAGGCCCCTTGAGTTCTGATGTTCTGAGACTTGGCCTGGCTCGGAGCCACGCCCCAGAACAGACAGCTTTGCTTGGAGCATGGCATCAGGTGTCCGATTCCACACCTGTCACCTGTCACTTAGGAAGTGCAGCTAAGGGATGCCAGTCCTCCCCTCCAATCCCTGTCACCTCCCCACCCCTGCAAAAATGAAGGAGTCAGACCCACCTTTGCTGGGGCACCCTGAACAAGCTGCAGGGCCTCCGGTGTGTGCCACGAGGCAGTGGTTTCCGATGTGCCCAGGAGGCAGGAGGCCTGTGGGCAGGACACACCAGCCAGGAGGAGCCTGGCCTGGCTAGTGGGAGGGATTGTGCTCCCCCACTCCCTCTCCCAGGGAGAAGCCCTACTTTTATTGTCATATCATCCTTCCTTTCTCCCAGGGAGAGGGAAAGAGTCAACTGTCAGGACTGGGTTGCTTGATTTTACCCCAACTTTATGCCTCTGTGGGGGAAAAAAAAATCAGACCACAAAATGGGCCTGAAATTCAGTGTTTACCATGGCTCAGGGTACCTGGTTGGTGCCCAATTGCCTTTTGTTTTCAAATGAAAATGTTTTGTATGGCTGAGGAGTTACAGTGAAGTGTTAACTAGGGGTCCAGGGAGGAGTAGCAGAGATGGAGTGAGAGTATTGGCAGCCAAGGGCTGCAGCAGAGATTCCAGGGGACCATGCCCTCTGTGCACTTAGAGTGTATTTGCCCTGGCCTGAGCCCTAGAGCAGCCTCCCTCCTGCCCACGGGGGCAGAATATCAGGCAACTGACCGTGAACACCCTCACCAACCGGCTGCTCCTTGCCTTCTCTGCAAGGCGTCAAGGAGAGCCCTAGCCATCTGCCCCAGGCTCTCTGCCCCCAAGGGGGAGCTGTCAGTGACCCTCATCCTCCTGCACTGCTAAAGGTCATGTTCACAGTGGGCGCTGTGCTGGTCTCTGTGGTGAGAACAGGCCCCGCCCTTCCAGGTACCTGTCTCCACAGGAAGCTTGGCGCCAGGATGCCTGGGCCTGGCCATCTGAGCTGCAAGGGAGGGACCGCGGGGGGGAGCCCACTCCCTAAAATGAACCCAGGCTTCAGACTCCTGAAGGCCAAGGCCTTCTACTGGCCAATGAGAGATGGCATGTCACCCACAAGTGACCCCATCAGTGGGCCTGTCCAGCTGGCAGCCATACCCCTGCTGTGCAGAGCCGGCCTCCGGGGGAGCTGGGCCCTCTGGCCCACGGCAGTCCTCCCAAGCAGCCCCCCGCCTGCACCGTTCCAGCTGGGTTGGGGAGCATTCTGTGGTCAGCAAAGCCGTGGCTGTCCAGGCCAGGTGCTGTGAGAACTAAGTGCTAAGAGGGCCTGGGAGCCCAGGGGACAAGAAAGTATGTGGTTTAGTACGTTAAAAGGGACAATCGTTTGCAGTTTGTAGATCTAGCGATCTAGTTGGGAGATAATGGTGTTTACCCCATATGAAGTATTCAATAGTTCTACTTGTGAATTTGTATTTATTTTGAGTTATACTTGACACAGAATTCCTTTTTTGTTTGTTTGTTTGTTTTAAAGAGAAATACTATGTGTGTATTTTGAACAAAAAAATTCATAGATGTTAAAATTTCTGCATGGATTACCAATTTTTCTCACAACACTGAATTTGTTATTTTCTCCCCCCAAAATCTTCACCGTGATTTTTGTATGTATATACTTGAGGGGCCTTTTTAAAAAAAAAAAAGAAAGAAAAGAAAAATATAATTGCTTGATTCTTGAGATTATAAAAACAAAAAGAGAGGCATTTTCAAAACTTCAGGCCTTTCATGAGGGCAACAGAATATCAAAAATGAAGATTTCTGGAAGTATTTTGCAAACCTTCTGGTTGAGCTGCAAGAAAATATTTATGGTGAGAATTTTTCTTTTTCCTGTTGTTGGTTTTCTTGTTTTGATTTTTTTTTTTTTACTATGCTTTGGTCTGTAAAAAGTATGCAACTGAACTACATTAAGAAGGAAATATTGTCTACATAGAATATTATATGAAGTTGGTACATAATTCTGATGAGGAAAAAAACCTTTGCAATTCTTTAAGCCATATTGTTATTCTGTGTTGTTTTCCTGGATGAAAATATCAGTATTAATTAGCCAGCATATTATTCAAGTGCTTAGACTTATTAATATGTTCCTGTCCTGTATTTATACATATGTGTATTTTGGAAAGTATTGCCTTTTTTTAAGGGAAGCTATTAATAGATAAGTAGCAAAAGGGAATGGGGGACCCGTGGACCTCCTTGGCTGAGGATAACACAGCATTGTAATCCATTCTCTTGCACCTTATTATTATCTTTTTATTATGGTTATTAACTTTGTAAGGGGGTAGGGGGTGGGCTGAAGGAAGTGGGGCCACGCAGCCCCTCCATGGCCGGCTGGCTCCAAAGATGGCCTCAGCCTGGTGAAGGGCCCCCGATCTGCAGAGCCCAAGGAGGAAAGGAAACAGAAGGCGGACTTCCCCACGGCTTCTATGGAGTTTTGCCATCTGAGCCATGCCCATGCCTCAGGACCCCGGGCTCTCTGAACTTGGACTTGACACCCGGAGCCCTCACACCTGCCCTCCAGCATCTAATAGACTTGAATCTACTCTAAACCAATATCTAACCCAACATCACTACATTGTAGCCCAGTGCAGCAACTAACCCTGAAGTGTGGGAGGCTTGGGGCCTTCAGGGAGGTGGCCAGCCTCCCGGGCTGCTGTTGCAGGCTCACTGCTCTCTGTTGCCAACCTCACCGTTTGAGCTCCTCTCGAGTGTTGACTCTGTCTGTCTGTTAATACGTGTGTGTCCAGCTAAAAAGACAAAACAGAACCCGAGGGCCCAGCATGGAGGGTGTTCTCTCCGAAGGGCCGCCCTCGGGATGGCATTCCGTTGTGTGCCTTATTCCTGGAGAATCTGTATACGGCTTGCCTATAGAAATATAGCCTTTTCATGCTGTATTAAAAGGACTTTTGAAAGCAAGCAAGGCTGTGGGTTTCCTTCTCTGTGCCGAGCATCAGTGGGGAGTGGGCCGTTTTTACAAATGGGTGGGGCCCAGCGTGATGGGAGGACTTGGGCAGCCCGTCTGCTCCCCTGTGTCTGGTCATCTTGTCCTGGCCCTGCCTCCAACCACTGACTGGTCTCCTCCCGGCCCCTCTGCCCCCAAGTGGACACTCTCCATGGCCAGGGCCCTCCCCGTGTTGGGCCCCCGGCTGGGCGAGATTGTCAGCACATTAGGTCACACTCTACAGTGGGGCTCCCGGGTGACCATATATAGGAGTGAATCTTCCTCAGAGACGGCAGCCCCGGCTTTGCCGCCACTGCTTGTGTTTGGCCTTCCTGCCAAGACCAGGGTCTCAGCCGCAGACACTGGGCATCACACATGAGCCAGTGGGAGTGCCTGGGCCTCCTGGGAAGTCCTGGGAGAGAGAACAGAGGGGCCCTCTTCTGAGCGAGGCCAGACAGGCTGGGCTGTCATGGGTGGGGCTCTGCGGGGGTCACTGACAGGCAGCCATGTCCACAGGTCTCGGGGGTCACTGACAGGCAGCCATGTCCACAGGTCTCGGGGGTCACTGACAGGCAGCCATGTCCACAGGTGTGGGGCTACGATGGAGCCATCTGCATGTGAAGCTCCCCAGCTCAAGATTAGGGCTCTTATTGCTGCTCACCTGAACCACCTATGGGGTTTTAAAAGCACCAAAGCCTTAGTCCCACCTCAGAGACTTTGGAGAAATGGGCCTGGTGTATTTGAAGGTTTAAAAGTGCTCAGGTCAGTCCCTTGTGCAAGGTTGAGGAGCATAAGACTTTGAACTGGTCACTGTAGTCCTCAGGTGATAGGGGTATCAGTGGGGAGACTGGGGAAGGGGGTCTCTTGTCCCACTGTGGGGGGGGGGCAGCCCACCCTCAGCTCCAGCCAATTGATCTCTAAGAATATATTGCCTGGGAGCACTGGAGAAGGAGCACTGGCAATCCAGGTGATGTTAAATGTTCCAATTTCTAAATACTGGAGACTAGTTTACGACATTTTAAAATAGTTCAGGTGTCTGGGGGCTGGCCTGTGCTTCCAGCCTGCATCCTCTGAATTGGAGCAGAGAAAACAAAATGTGAGTTCTTGGATTTGGGGACCACAGCTGGGGAAGGGGGAAAGTCAGGCAAGAGAGACCCCCGACTCCAGAAGCAGGGGCCCTTGTCTTCTTAGGGGTGTACAGTGAGTCATGGAAGCCAGCAAGTCCTTTCTTGATTATTTGTATAAAGGGAGACCTTGCTTCTTCCAGTATCTGCCCTCGGGAGGAAGATGTGGATAGCCAAGGGTTGAGAGCAGCCAGGGAAGAGAGCCCCAAAACCCAAGTCTGTCTCAGGACACCCACCTCCCATACCCTGGTCTCCAGAGCGGCCCCATCTCCCCCAAGTTATATGAAATGGAGCAGTAACCCCCTCTTAGACCCTGACTTCCAGAGATATTGTAGATAAGACAGTCCAGTGAACACAGGCCCGGAGCAAGACTTGCACCTAAGTGAGCCCAGGGAATATGAGCCTCTTCTCCCACTGTCGGTGGCTCAAGCAAAAATGCCTGAACAGAACACAGAGGAGAGGGGAAGCCAGGCCTCCCAACAGGCCCACTGGGTTCACCGGCTCACCCAGTGAGCAGTCACTGCACACCTATTGTGTGCTGGTCCAAGGTTAAGGCGCAGTCAGCTGACCTCATGGTCAGGGTACTGTGCCCTTGTTTGTTTTATTTTCTGTGGAAAGAAAACAAACCAAGGCAAACAGCCTGCATTTCGACATCTCCCAGAGCCGTGGAAACCAGTAATTCCCCTGGACAGGAAGGATTTCCGGTTGGACTTAATGTCCATGTCCAGAGGCTGCCGAGGGCCCAGAGAGAGCAGAGTCCACCGCAGAGGGGGGGTCACAGGCCCCAGAGAGAATGTCCCAGCTGCCCTTCAAAGCTGACGCCTACTCCCACCCTCCTTTTCTGTCTAGGCCAAAACTGAGGCCCCGAAAGGGGAGGGGATCACTGGAGGTCACCCAGCAGGCAGGTGGCAAGGCCACCTGTGGAGGACTTTAGAGACAAGCCTGAGGTTGTCTGTGGGCAACAAGCTATGAGAATCCTTGGGACCGAGGTGGCCAGTGGGCTCAGTAGCTCCCACTCACCAAGGCCTCGATGTAGGAAGCTGGCCCTGGGGGCAGCTGTGGGGCTCCAGCGTTGCGTCCTGAGCATAGGTCCAAATCTCTCCTGGCTCTCTGATCCCACCCCTGGTGCTCACCACCCTGGCAGAAGCCATGGTAGGGAACAAAAGGCTAATACAGCAGCCATAGAAGCTGGTACCCCAAGGACCCTGATATCTGAGACTTTCAGGTCCAGGAGGCCAGTTTCTGAGCCTGACAAGAGACTGCAGGGTGGATTCCCACGAGCCCACTCAGGCCACGAGGGATGGTTCCTGGGAAGCTGGTGTCCTGACCTGGGTCGGCCCCATGATGGCTAAGCAGTCTGTTTGTGGCTTCCCTCAGACACCCTGACCCCGGTTCCCCTTGGCTTAGGAAACCCAGACTCTGGCATCCAAATGGGACCCTAGCTGCTCTCAGGCCAGTGCTGCCCTGCCCGGTGCCCCCGTGGTGTTTGGGAGGACAAGAGGTGCTGAGAAGAGGGGTGACAGGCTTGGGGGGAGACTCCGACTCCCAAGTCAGGCATCTGGTTGTTCCAGGAGCTCTGGTCAGAGCCAGGAACAGCCTGTCCTCCGGCACAAAGGCCCCTCTAAACAGCCCCTCATTTATGCAGTGATGTGAGAGACCTGCGTTCAACCCTCCAAGACACACTTGCACATTCACACACTCACAAACTTACCCACATGCACATGCTAGCATAAGCACACGTGCCCACACGCACAGGCACACACAGGGCAGCCGTGTCCGCGGGAGTCCTGTGGGAACAGGAGCCATCTCCAGGTGGCACAGTGCTACTGCCGGCTGTGTCCTGAGCCCCCAGCCCTGGCGGGCCCTTTCCCGGCTTGTCTTAGCCAAGGCTCACTTTTAGGGAGTGTGAAGCCCACAGGGTGCTGGAGTTCTGTAACTCTCCAACTCCTTCCCCTCAGACCTCGAGTCCCTCACCAGCATTAGGGCTCTGGAAGCCCCAGGTGGGTGAGAGCAGGTGGGTCCCAACCCTGAGCCCAACACAGCAAGGGAAAGTCTTCCCTTGTGCCTCAGTTGAGACAATTCCAGTTTCTTCAGGTGTGATGAAGGTATTGGAGTCATGTAAAAAAATGGCCTCATCTACTACACGGTGGAGTATTTATGGGCAAAATGAGACCGGGTTTGTTTTCAAATAATTCAGAATGTGGTTTGGGAGATGCTGGCAAAATGACAAGGTCACTGAAGTGGGGACTGTCCCCTGGGGATGTGCTGTGACATCCTGCCATGGGTGAGCTCCTCCCCCGGGCTCGAGGGGCGCTGGGGGAGGAGCCAGGCCCCGGGCTCCCGAGGCAAAGCGGGGCGTCTCACTCCGTCCTCACTGCGCCGGCTCTCTCTGTGCATTACCAGCACCCGTGTGGCCTGGCACATGGGAAGATTACGTGGGGGTAAGTGCGTCAACACCACCCAGCTGACACTCATCTGTCCCGCTGGGGGACCAGTTGTTATGACTTACAGGAGCATTCATTTTTATCCTGCAATGACCCTGGTTGGTGGGAGCAAGGCAGAGTAAGGTTTTATGGACAGAGAAACTGAGGTTCAGAGAGGCTGAGCGACATGTCCAAGATCACACAGTCAGCAAGAGCAGACACCCTCCCTGGGTGTCCCAGAGTCACTGCCCACCCCACGCCTCACCCCAGAGGTGAGGCAGGTCCAGGGCCTACACCTTGCCTCCTGCAACGCTGTCCCTCCTGGACAGCTAGGCAGCCAGGCCAGCCTGTCCTTGGGCCCCTCTGCTCTGTCCTGGGCCCCTCGCACCTGCCGGACCCCACCTGCTAGCCTTCCACAGTAGCTGGGAGCCCATAGCATCTAGTGTAGGTCCCATGGGGGTTAGTCAGGCCTGAGGAGAAGCCAGAACAGACACAGCCCTTCACCCCACACTCCCTACCCTCCCTCCACCTCCGTCCCTAAAAAGGTCCCGGGGCCCTTTGCAGCAGTGGGAGATATCTCCTCCTGTCTCTACTGCTTCCAGCATGAGCTAGGCCAGGTGCATGTGTCTCTCCTGCACAGATACCTGCCCACCCTTGCTCCCACCTGGCCCACAGCCTCCAGAGCCCTGTACTCCAGCTACTTGCCCTCCTGAGGGAGTGAAGGGGGTCTTCTCCCCACACCAAGCACACCAAGCACACCAAGCACACCAAGCTGGGAGTTGAGCAGCTTCCTCCACTACCACCTTTTCAACACCCTCTCTCTGGACACTCCCTGAGGCCAGGGCTGCCCCCAAGGCTCCTCGACACCCAGCTCCTGCAGCCCGCAGGCCAGTTTGGGGCCCCAATCCTCATGTGTCCCAGGCCCTGGGGCCTGCAGAGATCTGTCTGCCTCCTCTCCTGATGTTGGCACGGACTGGGTGAGGTGTGTGCGTGGATTGGCGCCGAGCCACAGCCTCTTTGAATCAGCTGGATCAGCTGTCTGCCTAAGCAGCAGCCTCTACCATCTGCTACAGTTCCTGCCGTGTAAGAGGGAATATTCCCTGCCACCGACCTGGGGTCTGCCATAACCAAACACCATGGAGGTAAGGAAGCAAAGTCGTACCTGGGAAGTGCTCGAGGACTGTCAGCTTCTGCACTGTCCAGGGATGGTGACCATCCGCTGGGCCTGTGCTGCTTCTGAAATGCCCCCAGGCACTCTAGCCCCCCATTCAGCCTCCTTGAACTATGAGTGCTGAAAGCTTCACCTTGGACAGGCAGCAGGAGATGGGACTCCCACAGTTGGCCCCTGGAAAGGGAGCTTAGGTCAGCGGCCCTTAGTCTGTAGGTCATTCCCCTCCCCTCCCTGGGTACCTTCACTCTGTTTATTCA